TTTGTTTTGTTTCACTGATAATTTGGCTTGAAAAAAGACAAATACATATAGAGTAATATAATAGCGTATTCCATGTAAAAGAAAGAAAAAACTGCTCAGACGTGAAACGATTATGCGTTAGATTTCTCCAGGAGCTCTATGTAAAATGATGGACAGTTTTTGAATTTCTCACACAAACTTTTTGTAGTACTAGGCATATATAACGCATTAGTTAACAGATAGGGTTCTTACTGGGTAATTACTGATACTGAGCTCGATAACCAAGGGAAACATGACTATTGTCGCAAGTGTAAACGTGTATGGGGCGTTCATGAAACAGAGTGCTTAAATTTATAAGAATATCTGCTTGATAAAGTTTATATGAAACTTTTTTGAGCTAAGTTTTTTTTTTGTTTCACAAAACCGTGCTCAGAAGGCGTGTGCACCAATAATTTCATCCCTGGCATATTCATCCCCGAGGAAGGCAGTCGCCATATTCACCCAAGGTTGTTTACTGGTTATACTGTGCTCTCAACTTTTCGCGTGCGTCGCTCGTCAGCTGTTGCAAATAAATAAAATTATGTGAAATATTTTTCCTTTTTAATCAAGTGCGGGCAAGAAATATCGTTTTTAATGCAATTATTGATATGAAATATTAATTTATCTGTCGTTATTATGTTAATTTAGTGGCCTAAGCGTTCGGTGCCAAGCGTTCATTGTAGAAAGCATGATAAGAAATTAGGAAGGTAGAACCGCTGAGAGGAATTTTTCAAATTCTTGACGTTTGCAAGCAGTTTAATTTGAAAATTTTACACACATTCTCATTTTCAATCTCAAACAGCAACAACTTTGAACAATTCCTTTTTTTACTCTTAATTTTATATGATTTTAAAATGCTGGCAAACTTCAAAAAAAAAAAATTATGGCCGATGAGTTGAGAGAATGGATTTATCTTACTATGTTATTATCATGGTAGCAAGCATACTTTCAATCATTATAAGTAGAACCATTCTCTGATTTGTATTTTGAATAAATTGTAATAGAAATAAAAGAAATCGTAGTACAAATGACAGAAATTGTAAAAGATAAGAGCACATGCCAAAAAACCGGTGATCTCAGCTGTAGGCATTTTTTGGCAATCAGCTGATAGTGTTTTTACTTACGAAACTGTACGATGGTCGTGACAGTATTGACCGGTGCAAATCTAAGTATAAATGACAAAAATAGGAGTTACCTAAGGTCCTGTCTCCACAGGAAATACTGATGTCGTGATGCCATGTTCCAATGGAGACCGCCTATTTCTCATGGGCTGCAATATATGTCATCCCTTATTGCTTGATGATAATTGCAGGCAATTCGATAGTTTGACAACCATATTTTCATTTGAAAAAAAATCGTGCTGGTGATAACATCCATAAAATTTCGATATTAAATCAAAATAAAAATCTTTTCCCTATTGGATTATTTGTGATTACGTTTTGGAAAACTATTCAATAAGTTATTTTAAAGATTTAAATGTTTATAAACACCGAAATTGAGAAAATGTTGTCTGGTGGCGTCATGCGGCAAATGCTTATTTCAAGGCATCAAAGTGCATAAAAATTTCCAGCTGATGGCTGTTTACCAACTACGAGAAAAATTATCAAGCTTCCGACACAGTAGTTCGGTACCCGGTAAACCGATAATAAAATAATTTAACACAAACAATATACCTGAGGAAAAATTACCGAACAGCGAGTTACCGTTCCCACGACAGTTGGGTCTACGTAACCGGAGCGACCCAGATTTATATTTGGCCAAGGACTCTCACTCCCCAAAAACACTCAACAAAAACTCTTGGAGCAAGTTGTATGCTGCTACAACAACAACATGGGGTAAAATTACCGAACAGCGAGTTACCGAGTACCAAGCTCGGTGTGAAAAGCCTAAATATTTGAATGATTTAATCGATTATTTTTCAATATTGAAAAATCGATTAATTGTGGTTAACAAAAATCTCTGTATCTTCTATTACAAATTTAAAAATTTGCGTCATCTATTAAGGCCCTGTCACACGGTCAGTATTTATTGACGCGATGCAAGAGTCGCGATATTTATTGACAGTGTAGCATGCATTATTGATGGATCGTGATCCATATCGCAAANCATCGCGGATCGCAATACCGTCAATAAATATTGAATGTGTAGCATACATTTCGTCAGTACATCTTTTAATCTCATAATGCGAACATCGGCTCTGCCTTCGCTCTCGGGGCTTAAAATCTTTCAAAACAAATTTTAATTAACATTGGAAATTTTAAAATAATTGTGGAATGCATTATCTGTAAATTATACGTACAAAATAAAAATATTTTCTTGCGTCATAATTAGCATTCAGCACAAAATTATGCAAATACTGACGCGATAAATATTGAACATGTAGCTTTCGTGCGCGATCCATCAATCCATCAATATGGATCGCGATCCAAATATCGTGGGCATGAGTAACGTATGACGACAATCGTCTGAACGATTCATTCATAAAATTTGCTTCATAAAAATCAAGAACTGTTNGTTATACATACAAAATAAAAATATTTTCTTGCGTCATAATTAGCATTCAGCACAAAAATTATGCAAATACTGACGCGATAAATATTGAACATGTAGCATTCGTGCGCGATCCATCAATCCATCAATATNTGAAAAATCGATTAATTGTGGTTAACAAAAATCTCTGTATCTTCTATTACAAATTTAAAAATTTGCGTCATCTATTAAGGCCCTGTCACACGGTCAGTATTTATTGACGCGATGCAAGAGTCGCGATATTTATTGACAGTGTAGCATGCATTATTGATGGATCGTGATCCATATCGCAAAATTTCTAAAAATTTTGAAATCTGGATCGCGGATCGCGATACCGTCAATAAATACTGAATGTGTAGCACTTTCAAAACGCGATCCATACATTTCGTCAGTACATCTTTTACTCCCATAATGCGAACATCGGCTTTGCCTTCGCTCTCGGGGCTTAAAATCTTTCAAAACAAATTTTAATTAACATTGGAAATTTTAAAATAATTGTGGAATGCATTATCTGTAAATTATACGTACAAAATAAAAATATTTTCTTGCGTCATAATTAGCATTCAGCACAAAATTATGCAAATACTGACGCGATAAATATTGAACATGTAGCTTTCGTGCGCGATCCATCAATCCATCAATATGGATCGCGATCCAAATATCGTGGGCATGAGTAACGTATGACGACAATCGTCTGAACGATTCATTCATAAAATTTGCTTCATAAAAATCAAGAACTGTTTGATCGTTTGTGCGATATCGTCAACTCGATTCCAGTTTTGCTTCACGTAACAGTAACACGTAACAGCAAGACAAATGCATAAATCAGTGTTCTGACAACATCGTTTTGTCAGTATCGTTTGAACGACTATCGTTTCAAAGTTACGTGATTCATGCCGTTCTAATTACTGACCGTGTGACAGGGCCTTAATAGATGACGCAAATTTTTAAATTTGTAGTAGAAGATACAGAGATTTTTGTTAACCACAATTAATCGATTTTTCAATATTGAAAAATCGATTAATTGTGGTTAACAAAAATCTCTGTATCTTCTACTACAAATTTAAAAATTTGCGTCATCTATTAAGGCCCTGTCACACGGTCAGTTTTTATTGACGCGATGCAAGAGTCGCGATATTTATTGACAGTGTAGCATGCATTATTGATGGATCGTGATCCATATCGCAAAATTTCTAAAAATTTTGAAATCTGGATCGCGGATCGCGATACCGTCAATAAATACTGAATGTGTAGCACTTTCAAAACGCGATCCATACATTTCGTCAGTACATCTTTTACTCCCATAATGCGAACATCGGCTTTGCCTTCGCTCTCGGGGCTTAAAATCTTTCAAAACAAATTTTAATTAACATTGGAAATTTTAAAATAATTGTGGAATGCATTATCTGTAAATTATACGTACAAAATAAAAATATTTTCTTGCGTCATAATTAGCATTCAGCACAAAAATTATGCAAATACTGACGCGATAAATATTGAACATGTAGCATTCGTGCGCGATCCATCAATCCATCAATATAGATCGCGATTCAAATATCGTGGGCATGAGTAACGTATGACGACAATCGTCTGAACGATTCATTCATAAAAATCAAGAATTGTTTGATCGTTTGTGCGATATCGTCAACTCGATTCCAGTTTTGCTTCACGTAACAGTAACACGTAACAGCAAGACAAATGCATAAATCAGTGNGAACATCGGCTTTGCCTTCGCTCTCGGGGCTTAAAATCTTTCAAAACAAATTTTAATTAACATTGGAAATTTTAAAATAATTGTGGAATGCATTATCTGTAAATTATACGTACAAAATAAAAATATTTTCTTGCGTCATAATTAGCATTCAGCACAAAATTATGCAAATACTGACGCGATAAATATTGAACATGTAGCTTTCGTGCGCGATCCATCAATCCATCAATATGGATCGCGATCCAAATATCGTGGGCATGAGTAACGTATGACGACAATCGTCTGAACGATTCATTCATAAAATTTGCTTCATAAAAATCAAGAACTGTTTGATCGTTTGTGCGATATCGTCAACTCGATTCCAGTTTTGCTTCACGTAACAGTAACACGTAACAGCAAGACAAATGCATAAATCAGTGTTCTGACAACATCGTTTTGTCAGTATCGTTTGAACGACTATCGTTTCAAAGTTACGTGATTCATGCCGTGCTAATTACTGACCGTGTGACAGAGCCCTTGCATAGTGCTGGTATTGAATTCTTCCTTGTCTAAAAACTTGACGGCAAAGTGATTATTAGAGTGAGACAAGTTAGCTACGACTTAACGAAAGTATTAAGTAGTCCAGTAAACAAGGCGTGCTAGTAAGAGAGATAGCTATAGATACATATAAATAGGTGCGGCCATATTGATTGCTACATACGAAGGCAAGGGAAGCGGACTTCGTCAAGCGTCGTTTCATATTCGTTTATGTAGATGAATCAACGAGTTGACAACGGCGAGCAACGACGTTCATCGAGTATTGTTAATAGAAAGCGGTAAAAAATTTGAATTTTTCTGAGATAAAATCTATCAAAAGCATTCGATAGAGTTGTGCAAAAAATTTCTCTTTGAATGCGTATTTGGAGTTAAGAATTTTACGGTACTTGGAATTTTTAACGCCGATTCTTGACGGTTCATCATTGAAAAGAGTGAAGAACTAGGCATTGGATTCTGCGACGAAGTCGTGAAAAAGTGTAAGAAGAAGAAATAAAAGCGACAGCAGCGCTGCGGTCGGGAAACGACAACGACATTATTGCCGGAGCAGAAGCAAAAGCAGCAGTAGAGGCGAAACGTTTGTCAAAGAGAAAAAATTCGTAGTAGAGAAAAGTAAAAAATTGAATTTCGGAAGCGCAGGCGACGACGAAAAATAAAAAGGTGTAAAACGCTAAAAACTGCTGTTTCAGGACGACGCCAGTAAATAACTAAATAAGATTTCAGAAGAATCTAATCTAAAGAACTAAATCGAGATTTACTAAGCTATCGAACAGAATGTCTGAACGTGAAAATAATGTGTACAAGGCCAAATTGGCTGAACAGGCTGAACGTTATGACGGTAAGTACGCCGACTGTATAAAATTTGTAAAATAGGAAATGTGGTCCGAGAAAATAAAAAATGCGGATTTTCATAATGGGTGTGGATTGATAAAAAAAAAGAGGAAATAGTGACCGCAGTAGAAACACGCGGGGTATAGTGTACTGCTTATGACGAAGGCAAAGACGATGGTGCGTCAGTGCAGACGAAAAAATTTTAATGAAGCGAGATGGCCGGAATAGCGAGAAGATAATGGAGAATTAATATTTGCCGGCGATTCAATTTCGGGTGGTTTTTTGTTGCATTGAAATCTTTCTTGCGTTTATAATTGTACATAAGCGTTTACTTATGTAGGAAAAATGGACTTGCGAAAAAATACGGCTATTGGTGTATATATGTATGTATATATATAAATATATAAAATAAGATTTCTAAGGTCATCGATAAAGCGGGTACGAACACTTGAGAGAAACGCAGGCTATGCTTGTCGTCCTATATGGTTGTCACTTCGAAATTGGTTAAAAATCATCTCTATTCTTAGTTGCTATGTTCGAGAGTAAAAAGCGCACACGCACTTCACATGGATTTAAGCTTTAATAAATGAGAGTATATGAAGCGAGCTGCTAAAAAGCGAGTAGCATTGGCAGTATAAAAATTTAGAACCACTTGGTCAATAAGAAGACGGTTAAACGCAGAGCTGCCAACTCTGCTATCAAGTGCCATATTGAGGATAAAAAGGTGCCATTCTTTGTAATTCTTCCCATTTAGCATTACAATTAGAAACATTTCTAAATCAAAGTTCCAGTGACAAAGTAAGATAAACCGGTTGTATACCTGTAGAAGTTAGAAAATTTTAGTTGAGAAAAAGGAAGGTGCAAAAGAATATCACAAAAATGTATTAAAATATTATATTTCAAAAGTGCCATTTTGGCACTTTGTGCCAAATTGAAAAGTTAAGTGCCATTTGAAGTAAAATAGGGCCAAAAATTGAACGGTTTGAGCTAAGCTGGCAGCCTTGGCCGTAGTTGAACATTTCATAACTCATACTAGCTCACCTTGCGGTGGATATTTGTATTTGTCCTGCAGGCATGAGCAGTGTCACTAGCCGACTACCATGCCTGAAATATACCATCGCCGTTCTTTCACATTTTGCCTAGAATTGGCAATACGATGGTGTACGGGTATCGTTCGTTTTACTTGGGTATTATTTTCTTTGCTTTTTCTGCGCCTATGTGTCATTCGTTCGTGCGGTGCAGGGTTTGGACACAGCATTGATCGGAGTAGATTTATTATTTCTTAAAAATTGTATGGCGCTTCACATTGAGCTCGTTACCCCGTGTTTGTAATTTTTTCTTAGTGTGGTTTGTTAGTGTAAAATAGTGTTACACAAACAAAATACATGGGTAAAAATTACCAAAGACAGAGTACAAAGCTTCGGTGTGAAGACCCATTATAAAATCTCTTTTTTTCTGAGGAACATTGAATAACTCAAATTCTAATAGGTTAAAAATAAAGAAAACTGGGGCTCACCCTCCATTAAACCTTTGTATCCAATCCTTTTTCTTGTAGCTAAAGGCGGAAATGTAGATGATTTTTTGAGATATTTGACATATAATAATAATAGATTGGAGCTTACCACATATGTTTGTGTTTGGCCGAGCTTCTCCTCCGACTTGTGACGTGCGCCTTGATGTTGTCACACAAAGCGGAGAGACCTACAGTTTTACGCCGACTCCGAACGGCGATTGTATTTTTATGAGAAGCTGTTTTTCATGGCAGAAATACATTCTGAGGTTTGCCATTGCCTTGTGAAAGATTTGCCGAAATAACTTTCGTTTGCCTGGTTGGAATTCCCTTTATCATAAGGTTAATTTGGCAAGTCATAGTTAATTCGAAAGTCCATGCAAATAATTTTAAAATTACTGTTTTATGAGTACATCTCGGAAGATTTTTATTTATTATACCTACTTTTTCAACAATGAAACAAACAATGAATTAAAGAACGCCTTTAAAACATAATAACATACATAACATTTTCTTTTATACTTCAATTATGCTTTGTTCACTTTTAATTGACAAATGACGTCACCGTCGGGAGTGTGCAATCTTGTGTTCTCGACTCGGCCCTGCCTAGATCGGCTTGTCCCTGAAGTGTTGTTTTCAAACTCAAACAACGAGAGACCCAGGAAGTGTGCAACTACTAGTTTTTACTGGCTAGTGTGAAAAAAAAACGTAACTATAATAATTATTTAGATCGTAGAAAAATGAAATCGCAGAACATAAAACAAACGGTAAAAGGAGCACGCTACTTATTGATTTTAAAATAATTTACTACTGAATCGACTTTAAGTAGCCCGAGCACTGGTACTGAGTGTGGTACTTTTCGTTTCCATAGTGTTTGCTCGTGGTTGCTTGTTGCCGCGAAAAATCGATGAATGGAATCGACCGGTCGCTTACTGAGCAACAAAAAGTTATAGATAGCGATAATGCATGGTTTGACAGTAGTATAGTAATAAATCCATTATTTTTAGGGAATACCGTACTAATGGATTATATGCATGCGAATATCCGGCTATGATTTTAATGAATGTGTATATATGTATACACTCACTCACCAGAATGTTTCCAAGTGTTTTTTTGTTTTGTTTTTTTTTTAAATCGCAATGTTTTTCGTAATAATTTTTTTTCGTTAAATTTTAATAGTTCATTCTGCATCGAATGGCCTATAAATTAATGATTCAAAGTTTTTACAAAATTTAGGAAAATTCGACAAATTTTCACCAAAATTTGCAACTTTTACACCAAATTTGTTAGAAGTTTTTTGAAAACATTGCAAACATTAAAAAAAAAAATACTGTACGGAAACATATTCTAGTTAGTGTATGTACACTTAGGTCCAAAATTGACTCAATAATAAAAAAAAATCATTACTTATGCGTTTTTCGGTGGTTCTTTGGTAAAATTTATATGCACTTATATACATTTGTAATATACATATATTGCAAAATTAATATATATTAAAAGCAAATATGCGAGTATAGTTTAAAGAACTAGAATCACCATAAAATTTTAAAATTTCGCTAACGTGTCTGGAATATTTTTTTAAATTAGCTTATTGACTCAATTTTGCACTCATATAATTTACAACTGAGGGGAAATCCCTATTGTTACGCTGCAACCCCTTTTCTCCCGTCAAGTGTAGGTTTTTGTTATAACTTAGTAATGGTTTTTGTTATAAAAATACCATGAGACGCGATTTGAAAAATATAAAATTAATATTACTGGAAAGCTAACGCATGTGAGCCAATCGACTGTTAGCCGGATTGCAAAGAAAACGGTGGAAGAACTATCTACCGCTAAAGAAGCCGTAGAATGCGATTGTAGAGAAGCTAACGAGTTTGCCAATAGGACTGCTATGTTCTACAATATTGCTCCTGGTACTCAGTGATTAGCTGTCTAATGTGGTTGTAGTTTATCGGACATCGCTGCGGGCCTTGCTCTGCGAAGCCACGTAGTGGCTGGTTAGCTGAGTTAACCTAGTTAGTGCACCGTTCATATTATGCCAGTAGCATGCCAGTCCAGTGAGCCAGGCCAGCGCTGGATTGACACGACGACTGTCTACACCAAAAAAAATAAATAAATTTTTTGCTGCGTCAGGACGAATAAGTGTTGAAAATGTCCTTTTAAAACTTTGTCCTTAAACATCCTTGGAAATGTCAAGTATGTACTAATATGTTAACTATCGCATCCTCGAATTTCATACTTCTAACTTTATTAGTTTTAGATAAAAAAAATTTACACTTCTCTTTATAAGATATTGATAGTTACAATATACATTAATGAAGATAGTGGAATCATTACACTGTACAGCAATGGAATGGGTATTAGACCAAGCCAACTTTTTTAAAGAGATTGATTGATTGAGGTAAAAAAGTAATTTCCCCGTTTTTCGAAGTTAGCCTCCGAAATCGATATGCGCTTTCGAAGTTCGAAATAGGGCCCTTGGTAAAAAATTATTTATTATTACTACAGTGGTCGTCCAGTATAACGAATGATATAATGTCTGGGATCATACGCTATATCGAAAAGTACGTTGTATGGAACTCAAATTTTATTATGAGAATTCAATAAAAATCAGTCTATATATTACACATGAGTCCCATATTCCAATTTTGCTTAATGTGCTTTTATTTTATTTTTTTTTTTCTTACCTAATAAATAACAAACGTTTACGCGACGGAGGTATTTTCCCAGTTCAATAAACGCGATCACTTGTAAGAAGTTATTCTTTTGAACTGATCGTAATTCCACGTACGCAAAAGTCATGCAAAACCATGTCATTCAAGCGCACAAAGTATACAAGCGTTCGTTATATAGAATACTCCTCTTTCCAACCGTTCGTTATTTAGAGTAATCAATACATTTAAAAAAAAAGCATTCGTTATTTGGAGCGTACGTTATATAGGCCATGATAAAAATATAGTAAGGTAGAACCGCTGAGAGTCACTTTTAAAATTCTTGACGTTTCCAAACAATTTAATTTTTAAATTTACTCACAAACTCACACACACATTTTCATTTTCTATCTCAAGCAACAACAATTTCGAACAATTTCAATTTTTTATTTTCACTTTTATATGATTTTAAAATGTTGGCAAACTTCAAAAAAAAAATCATGGCCGACAAATTGAGAGAACGGTTATACCTTGCTATGTTTTTATCATGATATAGGCATTCGTTATACTGGACGACCACTGTATATGTAGATAACTAAAAAACTGAAAATATAGACGTAGTAGTCCGCCTTTTGCTCTTATTTAACTGGTATATGACTTTTTTTGTGCAAACTTATACTACAGGTGTTATAAGGGGTCAAAGGTCGGGTCTTCGAAAAATTAAAAACCTTATATGTATTTCAAACTATTTTGAACTGATTTTAAACCCCCTTTCTGATATGCGTATTTGTATACTTCGTGTTTAAAAATTTGAGAAAAAACATTTAAAAGGAAAAACTAAATGCTCTTGTTTTAAGAGCTTGCACTAGAAATCGCAAAAAAGGCAAAAGAAGACACTAAAAAAAGAGTTTCGATTTTTTTACTCAAAAGAAAAAAAAAAACTAATCTCTAGTTTTCTGGCAGCATTTTCATTCGATTTTCGCGAAGAAAAGCCAACTTTTAAGGCGCTCGACGTGAGTTATACAATTTAAATATGGAACGTTTAAGACCTTCATATTATCAAAAATACGGCCTTTTTACAACTAAGGACCAGTATGCAGCTCTCACGAAAACGGACAAGAAAAAATTGAAATTATCTTGTGTGTGTGTCCAAGGAATTTTGACATCCTAATACTTCATATTCAGTTGCCTCACATTTTCCTCAAGAAATAACGGAGCGGGCATATATTTCTGTTGCAAACATGGGTTACCTTGTGGCCTTTTTTCACAAAAAAAACTTTACTAGAAAGCGTTCAAATTTCTTAAGAACTGCGTACTGCCTTAAGGAAATTTGACTCATGAAAATTTCTTAGCCATCCTTGTACGTCATTTTATATGGGCTTTTTGCTTTTCTTTAGAGCTGCACACAGGCCTTTAAGATGGAAAAGACAAAAAGGCAAATATCTTAAAAAATGCAAAAAAGGCAACATCACATGTGTATATATGGAATTAGGGAAAGCTAAATCGTGGACATTCATAATAGAATATACTCTATCTCTTTAGCTATTTCCATAAAATCCGTTCCCTAGCAATAATAATAAAACTTATGATGCGTGAAATTCAACAATTGCCTGCGCTTTTAATGATTACAACATATTCTATTTTTTTATTGAGCTTGATCTTTCTTTATCTAAAGATGGTTCCATTCATCTTTTGAAATCTTCTACATATGTAATCTTATTTACTTTTGTTATCTATACGAATTTATTTTTTATAGATTATATTAGATAAATAAATAAATAAATTACAGTTGTGATTAAAAGTAATACAACTAGAAACTTATATACAGGGTGCCGACGAGTAAAGGCGGACCTCCATAGCGTTTGACATTTACGCTTAGAAGTCAAAATTCATACAACTTATTTACATTTCCATGCGTCGCCATGTATGTAAGCGCTGCCATAAAAATTTGTATACCATTTTTTTTTCTGTCAAACTCACGCATACGTATACGCATGCTATGGAGATCCGCCTTAACTGTCGCCCGGGGTTTTTTTTTGAAAAATAAAAGGTTCTTTTTTACTTTATTTAAATTTTATTAAATAGTTTTAAAATTTTAATCCTTATTTGCATTTGCCAGCAGTGTAAACTTTGGGAGATTAGTACACGCAAGACTCTTTCAGATGTATTTTTTCTTAGACTTTTTATCTATAAAAAAAGAAAAAAATAATAATAACTGTATAGGGTTGTTCGAATGAGTGGCCGTCCTAGTCACCAGTCAAGTAAAAAACTATCAACAACTTTTTAATAGGAAAGTCTCTTATTATTTTTATACTTTTAACTAACTTCAACCAAATTAGGAGGTTAGCAATTCGTCGGGATATTTTTTTTTATGTACATACATGTATTACCGTATAGCTTTGGACCACGTTAACCGATTTAGTTAACTCTGGAAAAGTTAATACCCATATCTACTTGATTTAGATCTGACCTTTGGATCATAAAGTAATTAAAAGTACTCCTAAATATATATATAAGAATTGAGGTCGGCTGTGATTTACATTTTGAAATTCGATTCTGTAAAATAGTTCACGTACACGATTCAATCATGTTCACACATTCCTAAAAAATTCAACCCAGAATGTATGCCATAAGGAAATCACCTTTGTGCTCGCACTGTTATTTTGACGTCTTTCAATAAGTCTCCTACCTTTTAAGTGTGTCTTGCCCATCGTTTTAATAACGTTATTGTGGACTGCATGTGTCCGTTGGTCGGGAGGGCAATAAAACCGTTGGGATTAATTAATTAATTATTAGGCGTTGGCTGAAAATGTAACCGTTATTGGTAGACGAGATATACTCAACTATTTTATATATTTACAGTATTGCATATAACATACCATTTTAACAAAAAACCAACATTGATATTGTGTAAAATAAAAAATTTATAAAATATTCGCCAACTTTCTTTTTAGAAATGGTCGAAGCTATGAAAAAGGTCGCATCCCTAGATGTTGAATTAACTGTCGAAGAGCGCAACCTGCTTTCCGTCGCCTATAAGAATGTAATTGGTGCACGACGTGCTTCATGGCGTATAATAACCTCTATTGAACAAAAGGAAGAAAACAAAGGGGCCGAGGAGAAGCTTGAAATGATTAAAACCTACCGCGGGCAGGTGGAGAAAGAACTACGAGATATTTGTTCCGATATTCTGAATGTTTTAGAGAAGCATCTCATTCCATGCGCCACTACAGGCGAGAGCAAAGTATTTTATTATAAGATGAAAGGCGATTATCATCGCTATTTGGCAGAGTTTGCTACTGGTTCGGATCGCAAGGACGCGGCAGAGAATTCGCTGATTGCTTACAAAGCTGCCAGCGATATTGCAATGAACGATCTGCCGCCAACACACCCCATTCGCTTAGGTTTGGCGTTGAACTTCTCGGTAAGAATTGAAATAGGGAGGAATATTAAAATGTATGTACGTATGTGTTCCTGTAACTCGGTAATTTCTTTCCGTAGGTATTCTACTATGAAATTCTCAATTCGCCGGATCGCGCTTGCAGACTAGCGAAAGCAGCTTTCGACGATGCCATTGCTGAGCTAGATACCTTAAGCGAAGAGAGCTACAAAGATTCCACACTAATTATGCAATTGCTGAGGGATAATCTTACATTATGGACGTCTGATATGCAGGCCGATGGTTCGTAAACAGTTTATTAACAAATTGTTAAACAAATAGACTAAAAAATTTTTGGTTTATCAGGTGATGGCGAGCAGAAACCGGAGATTCAAGATGTCGAGGATCAGGATGTGTCGTAATTTAAGTAACCCCCCATCTTACTTAATTCTAAAACTCCTCTATATACCTTTTCCTACTGTAATACAGCAGCAACAACACATACATAAAAAACGAGAAGCATTATAATACACAACAACAGCAACAATGATATACATTATATACATTTCAATTGCATAAAAAATAAAAAAATTCTCTTTCAGAAAAACACTTCTAAATCTAAAGAAAGAATTCAACAAAATTTCTCCTGCCCCGCTCCCATTCAATGTGTGAAGATTTTTTGCATTAAACATAATTATTAAAACCAGAATTATTATTAAAGAAAACAGAATAATTATTAATAATAATGGTAATGATAATATACATCAGTATAATAAAATAAACAAATACAAAAAAATAATTATTTTAAATTATAAAAGATAATACCTTACCAAGAAATCAATATACACAAACATACATTCACACTCATACAGTTAGAGTTGCAAATGCAACAATCGATGCAATATAAGGAAAAACGGTTTTCTTTATATTAGAAAATAAAAAAGGAAATATAAAAATAATAGCAACAGATATTAATTATATCGGTAAAATACAAAAGGAGCACACTAAAGTCAAAAGAAGCGCAGACGGAGGGATAATGAGAATACATATTAGAAATAGTAGAAACAAATATTGAAATGAAAACAAACGAAACCCATTAGGCAATTAACTAACCATTGATTGCTTAATTTCAACACGCACCATTTAGCTGATACTTGCTTTTGTATTGTAGTAGATCAGATAAATTGTAAAACTGAGTTCGCGTTTTTCTGAATGGTGGTGCAAAAATTTTGCCGATTTTTATATCTATATTTTTGGTCGTTGCTGAGAGATTCGAGGTTCGTTTTGAATCACATACATAAGTGAATAAGTGAGGAAATTTCTTGTATTGGTGAAATATATACTAAACGATTGATCATTTTGTATCATTCATATTTCGGTCACAGTGTTGGAAATGATTCGGTTAAATGCAGCAGAATGAAGTGTATTTGTGGGCAGTTCATAAATGAAAATGTTAACATAACAAAAATGTTTTATAATTACATGAAAAAAACTTTGCCACTACTGATAACAAGTTAGAAATCCTTTGGTGTTCGCGATTTTTGGCCATAAACTTCACCAACTGACACCTCAGATGTTTAAAACCGGATTTTAATCCGTCGAACTCAGTGGCCACGTCAAAGGGTCAAAACTGTAATTTTGCAAACAATCTTTTTGATGATTTTGTGAACTCAAACTAATGGCCCTATTATATATAGCAACTGGTGTCTAGTTGCTGGTCTAGTAGCCGTGGCTACCAGTATCGTACTTTGTGTTATGTATAGCACACACCACATCCGAATTTACTTTTTTTTTTGGCAACTTTGCTCCAATACGTTTAACAAATTATGTAAACAAGTAACGACAATAGCCGACGGTCAGTAGCCAGTTGCCAATTTTTGTATATGGTTGGTCATCGGCCATGGGTGATTTAAAATCATTAATTAAAAAACCGGTATTGGGTTAACATTCCCATACGTGTAGTAGGTACAGCTATGAAACTTCTCTTTATCTCGTTTTTTTTTACCTATGTATTCTGAGCTGTTCCTCCGAGTTGAAGCATAACGATCGTTGAATAAACGGCCCGGATTTGACCTCAAATATCTCGTAGTAATATCGAACAACTCTTCTTCACCTGCGTATCAATTTGCTGGATGTTCGCGATTACATACATATTATTGCTTTCAATCATGGCCATTCTCTCTTGTTATCCCACCATGTAATTTTTCTTCCTGCTCCTCTGCGCCCCTCAAGCTTTCCTTGTATTAAAAGTCTCCCGTACAGAAGAGTCGACCACACATAGCATTTAATGAATCTTACACCCCTATTGCGAGTGTCGACTACTAGTAGATAAACGACTATTATTCGATTATCACTTTTCCATGGTATTGTGAATGTGGATTTCCCGTGCCAAACACTAACATATGTGTAAGCGCCAATCTATTATATTATAAAAAAAAACTCACACTCACTTATTGAACAAGAAAACGACCCCGAAAATACCATGGATAATCGATAATCGAATTATAGTCGATGTATCTACTACTAGTCGATCGACACTTGCAACAGGAGTGTTATTTTCAGCTTAATAGATATGTCTCGACTTGTTACTATCTTCTTTATCTTATTGAATGCTGCCCTTGCTATTTCTATTCTGCCGTTAATTTCGTTGTCATATTCCCATTTGTCACTCAGCCAGCTTCCCAGGTATTTGAAATTGTTTACTTTGTCCACGTTCATATTCAACCTCATTGCGTAAGTCGTAAATTTGGCTAAATTGTACGACTCGACAACATCGAATCTCGAAAAACGACTTGCATTCGACACGACTCTCGCAATGAGGGTGTTTATTTATTGTTAGGTTAGTATTAGTGCAGTGTTGTTCACTTTTATTTATGACCATGTATAATTTTTAAAAGTATTTTCAACGTATGGCTCATTAAACTTATAGGTTGGTAGTCTGCTTGCATTGTGTAGCGTTTGATTTTTTCGGAAGCGCCACGAAAGTAGATTTCACCCAGGATATCGGATATTCTCTAGTTTTATATATACATATAGCTAAATATGTACTTCCTCCAGAACATTCATAATAACTTTGTCACCTTTTTCGTTTTGGACATTTTTATAGCACACGCAATATCTGACTTTGTTGTTTTCAAAAACGTTTCCTCTGTTATGCCATTTATTGTTATATTATATCCCTCGAGTCGTCTTTGAAAAGTTCGTTTACATATGTCTTCCACAATTCCATTTTTCCTACCTCGTCAGTTACTAAATTGTGATCTTTGTATACCAATACATTTATACTATTATGTTTTCTTGTGCCGCAGACTTCCTTAAATTTTTTGGTGCAGATTTAAATTGTGTAGTTTTTCTAATCGTTCTATATCTTCCATGTTTTTTCATCCATACTTTTCTTGCTTCTCGTATTTAGTTTCTAATTTCTTTGTTAAGTCTTTTATATTCATCAGTATTGGTATTTCGTCATTCATCCATCATCTTTAGTTTAGTATCTCTTCATTCATTCATTTTTGTTTTGCCGTTTTCACCTTTGTGTCTAGTTGTTGGTTCGTTGTCGCTCTTATATTCTCGGTAGCTTTGTTCCATGTATCAATAGGATTTTCAACGTCATTTGATGATGCGAATACGTAATTTATTTGCCGTTTAAGCTCCTCTTTTTAACCGACTTCACAAAAAGGACAAAGGTTATCAATACGTCGGAATATGTTTTATTTTTTATTATGTACAGATGCGTGCAACTAATTAGCAACGAAATTCAAAACGATATTGCTTGCAAATTATGTTTATTTATTTTTAATAATTTTCATTTAAAATATAATTCAATCTATATCAGAAACCACAATAACAAAAGTTGCAAAGCTTGCACAAATTGCAAAAAAATTAATCAAACTTAAAAAAATCGTCATCAAAATTTCAAAATTTTTAATTAGAATATATAGAAAATGTTGGAGTATGCAGTTGCAGCCCATTCAATTTTAGTATAATAAAGTGGAAGTTTCAAGTCGCTAAAAATTACCGTTCATTTTTTAGATTTTTTTTTTGTCGAGGGTGTTGCGGATTTTTTTCCATGTAAAAAAATTTTGATCATGTGTTATATGGAAGAAAATGCGCAACACCCTCCACAAAAAAAATTCTAAAAAATCAACGGTAATGTTTAGCGACTTGAAACTTGCACTTTATTATACTAAAATTGAATGGGCTACAAAAATTTTGAAATTTTGATGACAATTTTTTGAACTTTGATTAATTTTTTTTTGCAATTTGTGCAAGCTTTGCAACTTTTGTTAATTGTGGTTTCTGATATAGATTGAATTATATTTTATATGAAAATTATTAAAAATAAATAAATATAATAATCGTTTTGAATTTCGTATCTAATTAGTTGCACGCATCTGTATATTACCGCATAACTTTGGACCCCGTTAACCGATTTCTATATTTTTTTTTTTTTTAATGAAAGATGCTACCTCACAGGGGGTCCGATATTAAATTGGTTTAAATCCGATCATCGGATCATGAAGAAATTGACGATAATCTTAAATTTTGATATGAGAATTGAAGTCGTTTTTTTTTTTATTAAAAATTACTTGTATTTTTGTATTGTCAAGATTTGCTAAGTTTAGCTGGTTTCTGGTCAGTTTTCTTTTGCTGGGTCTATAACATAGTCTTCCACTTGGCAGAATTGTATTAATCGATTTCCACGTTCATTACGTTTACCTGGCCCAAATTCACCTGTCATATTTACAGTGTTCTCTTTGCCCACTTTGGCATTGAAATCACCATGAGTATGTTAATCTCGTGTTTCTTTGTGGTTCTTAATATCATCTTCATGTCAGAATAAAAATTTTCCATCTCAACGTCAGCACAGTCAGCAGTTGGGGCGTAAATTTGTATGATGTTGAAGTCAATTGGTTTACCGTTTAGTTTTACAAGTATTTTTCTGTCAGAATACGGAATAACATCTTTTACATTCTCGTAATATTTTTTGTAGAACATTTGCGAGGTGTAGGCCTGCTAGTATCATTTCCTGAATAGTATAGTTTTACTTCCTCTTGTATTTGTCCATTCTGAGGCCACCACGCCTCACTTATGCCTAAAATATCTATTTTCAGTTTTTTAAACTCTTACGGTATTTTCTAATTTTCCTGGTTCGTATAAGCTCCGCACATTCCATGTTCCATGCTTATAGTACTCTTATTTTTATTTGTTCGTTTTTTTGATTCGTGTATGTACGTATTTCTGGTGATGATGTTCCTTCAGTGGTTTTTTAATACGCCAAGGTTTTATTCCCAAGAGATCAAAATTATTTAACACATTCAATGCAAATAATGAGTTTTTACAGTTAATTTTTAGTGGTGGTTTTATAGCTATGATACAGCGGGGGTGCAGTTTTGTAAAAACTTTTGTTAAGAGCTTACCATGAATTTATTATTTGTGATGTGTCGGTTTTCAATTTGTAGAAAATAAAAGACTCAAAAATACAGAAA